TAGACACGTTATTTACAGTAAATAGCTTATAAACACTGAACCTCTGTCTGCAGGTTTTCTGGTTGCTGGTCATTAGACACGTTATTTACAGTAAATAGCTTATAAACACTGAACCTCTGTCTGCAGCTTTTCTGGTTGCTGGTCATTAGACACGTTATTTACAGTAAATAGCTTATAAACACTGAACCTCTATCTGCAGGTTTTCTGGTTGCTGGTCATGTTCATCGCCCTCGGAGTTACTGCTGATGATTTGTAAGTAACAAGAAATTTGTCTAACAACTTAATACTGAGTGACGTTTGCTAGATCTTTTATATAGTTTCTTCAGTCAGTATCAGAGGCCTTTTTTTTATTGATCTACACACAAAATGAGGGCAAGAACAAAAGAAAATTATATATACAATCATTTCAAATAATAATACTTCTGCATTTCTATTATCACGTATTAACGTCTCAGTTTAAAAGTTCATCAATTATTCTGGCAGTAAAGTTAGAGTAAGTTAATAATAAAAATTAACTTTTTATTTCAACAAACGTTTCGTCTTTGCGGCTTAACCAAGGCTTGTAATACAAGAAGCCACACGGGATAAATGTTGGCTGAAATAAAAATGTTTGTATGATTATCTGGAGAGCAAAGGTTGTTTTTTTTTCTTTAAAAATGCCTAAATCCCTCCAATATTCATTACAAATTCTCATCAAATGTTATTTTCAACCAGATTCTTGAATTCTATTTCAATAATAAGGAGCGAAGAAAATTGAAATTTGAAAATATTTCAGGCCTAGAAAGATATTTTGTATTAGAAAAAAGACATTTTGTGCAAACAATATTATGTCAGTCTAATATAATAAATATTTTACTTATTTTGAGGCATGACATATTAAACAAAGTTCGTTTTGTAAAAGCTTTAAACTATATTGATTTTTTCTTATTTACAACCGTTATAATCGCCTACTGAAAACCATATATGGCTTTAAATACTACTTAAAAAAAAAACACTAGCTCAACTGCTTGTTATTTAGCGCAAAGCTGCACAGTGAGTTATATAAGCTGTGTCCATCGTGAGGAATATAACCCCGGTCTTTAGCATTATGATAAATTACTAGCTAAGAATATTGTAACCATACATGTGTTGCAGCAGTGATGTCAGGAAAAAAGCAATCATTTGCCGACGGAACATAACCTCCTCCAGTGGCTCAACAGTAAGCCTGTAGGCTTATGACGCTAAACATCAGATTTAGATACTCGTGGTGGGTACGGCACAAATAGCCTATTGTGGAAATTTAGGCTTAACCAACCGACCGAGAAGACATAGTATTATGGTATAAATACTTTTTAATTCGTGCTTTTTAACACTTTATTTGTTTGTTTGTAATTGAGCACAAAGCTACACAATGGGTTATCCGAGCTCTGCCCACCACGGGTATCGAAACCCGGACTCTAGCGTTGTAAGTCCGCAAACATACCGCTGTTCCACTGGGGGGCTTTTAACACTTTATTGTACACATTATGAAAATAAAGCGGGAAAACGTTTTTATGATTTTTTTTTACTATCGGTCTATTGTACAAAGATATTATTGTGAACTATATTTTGGTAAGCTATAAATGGGTACATTACCTAGAAGTAACACTGTTCAATTGAGGAAGCAACAAATATAATTCTATGGTTTATTTAAAATGTTTTCTGGTGGTAAGAACATTCAACTACAGAAAGAAATTACACGTATATGTATGTGTATTAAGAAATAAAAGTAGATTTCTTACATGTGTGTTACAATGCGCAATAGAAAAATAAAATTAAAATCTACGTGTCAACATGAAAAACGATAACCTGAGTGTCAGTGAATAAATTCTTTCTGATGGAACAATGTAACTCACGCGCATCCGAAAAAAAACAGCTCAAATAAGTCCCGGCACTAGTACCGTGTTAAAAAATAAGTTCCGATAGCCTGTAACGGTGAGTAATGGCGGAGTTCTATCCCTGAATAGAAGGTTAATACTGTTACGTCTCCGATCGTTAGTTAATTTTCCGTAAAAATTCTTACCGAAGAAACTTTACAGATACAAGTCCTTTCTTAAATAAAACTGGTTTATTCTTTCTGAATACAACTTTGCGATACACTTAATTTCAACAGTCGCTCTATAACAAACGCTATAACTCACAACGAACTTCTCACGTGCTCAACAATATTCTTACTCATTACCTCCGCAGTTCAATTACACACATATATATTGTTCCCGTCACTTTGTGACCGTCTTATATATACTAGACAAACACATATCTAGTAAACGCTAGAGCATTCATGAAGGAACAGGATATTTGTAGAAGGACGTGGCGTGATACTAGTCACGTGACCTCGCTGACGCAACAATACTTTATCCTGGCAGTTTGTTGTATATTAAACTATAAAGTCTTAACAGTTTATCTAAGTTAAAGGCAACAAATGTTACTAGAGTTTTTATCTGTAGGCTTGATTTTTTTTGTGGAGATAAATAGCTGATTGGTTATTGATATATTTTAAAATGCGTATTTTAATTTTCAGTAAAATTGGAGATAAGAGTTTTATATGAAAATTATTTTTCAGCTTGTGTTCCGCCTTAGTGGTCATTTCTAAGACACTACACTTATCTCAGAACATTGCTGTATCCTTTATGTCAAAATAAACAAGAAATGGCTCTAGAAAATAATTTTGTTCTCTAATGTAATTTATATTAATCTGTAATCTAGATTGTATCTGTTGCTTTTGAGATCTGAATCAATTATTTAATTACATATTAGGGTTAAGGTAAAGTTTTGTGAGTGAATCTACAATGAACCATGTTATTTATATATTTTACATTTGTGCAAAGAAAGAAGTAGGCTTAGCTCACTTTAAGGCTAGTTGTATGTGGTATTACGAACGTGATTTTTATGTTTTTAATACAAAATTATTTTTCCATAATGCTGACTGTAATTACACATAATCACGAATAAATGAAACGATTGGTTTTTTGGTGTAAATTGTATTTAATTTATTGAACAGAGCACCAAATGGAAGCTATAAAAAGAAAGAACGAATCTTTTATTGATGAGCTAAAAATTAAAATTAAAACACAAATGCGAATACCTCTTGCTTTCTCGAAGGTAACTGACTCTCTACTCCTCAAAGTAAAAAAGAAAAAAAATTAAGAGGAAGAAAACAGAACTGCTCTTAAAATAAAGCGTTCAACTTCTTGACATGATGGAGCAGTTAGTATTGTATCTTGACTTAACGATTTATTCAATAAATCGCTCATTTATTGCTATTGTAAAACGAGCATGGTTCAAAATTAGGAAGCCACAAAAAATACAGTGTCGAATTTCCGTAGTTTGTCAACTTGGAGGTGTTTCATAAAGATATTTTAGATGGACTTAACGCATTTCTCAGGGCGTGACGTTCTTGGCTTTTGGTAACGGGTCTCCTGATATATTTTCTTCCTTAGCTGGTGTACAAGAATTAAGATCTGATCTTGTAATTGGACAACTCTTTGGTAAGTTTAATAAAACTCTGGCTTATGATGATAATTAAAATAACTGTATATTTGCGTACAAGTTGTAATTTGAGATCAATCTTCTATTGTTAGAGGCTATAATGTTACAATTAACTCAAACTGACTAGATTGTGGCAACAAAGTAATAAAAAAGACTTTTAATCTCAATATAATAGTAAAATCTTCTTATTTTAGCAAACGTTGCGTCATCAGGGTTAATAGTACAAGGACTGTACTACTAACCCTGATGAAGCCACAATGGCCTAACGCTGGCTGAAATAAACAGTTTTTATGATTATATTTTTTAAAACTTTATTGCCAAAATGTCTAAACCCCTCAAGTATGCATGACAAATTCTGAAAATCAGTATAGTGTGCACAGTGACGTGTAAGTCTACATATATATATATATATATATACAAAGCTGTAGGTTACTTTTTTTATTGTTGGACAAACAACACGATATTGTCTCTCTGTTAAACTTATATTGTCAAGCTTGATTAATTTTTCGCTGGATCTTTTTGAACGATAAAAGTTTGTCAAAGCGACTAGCAACTTTCACAACAGTTTATATTCTGAGAAAGAAGCCGCCAATTAGTACAATCACAAAATCACTCACAAACAGCTCAATAGTGTTAATATAACGCAATTTCAGTGTTTAGTGAATTAATGAATATAGAAATTATATAATATATTATTTCAGGAACACCTCCTTATTGAAACAAAAATTTCCCATCCTGTATACATAAAATTTATATAGAATTATATAGATTTTATATTCTCTATTGAACTCTGTAGAGACTATTAGTGACATATGTAACGCTATAAAATGCCCAAATAGCAACCTTGCAAGGTTTCTTTGGCGACTTCCTGCTTTGTGTAGTTGGCAACTCTGGTAGAAAGTGAAATTACCACAGAGCTCCCATAAACACTAGAGAGGATAACATCGTGCTTGTGCAATTTCCGGCAATCTTACAGTTTGTTTGGAATTAAGCACAAGGTTACACAATTGGCTATCTGTTCTCTGCCCGCCACGGGTATCGAAGCCCGGTTTCTAGCGTTGTAAATCCGCAGACATACCGCTGTGCCACTGGGGGGCCATTCTTACAGGATGACTTATCTAACTTGGCAACGAAAACTATTATGGTTATTTCTATTGAAAGTAATAATTAACCTTCATGATCAGTAAACCTAATATTTGTATGGCTTATATGATAAATATAATATTGTTACGGCCTCTGTGTTCGTTTGTTAATTTTCCGTAAAAATTCTTTCCGAAGAAACTTTAGCGATACAAGTCCTTTCTTAAATAAAACTAGTTTATTCTTTCTTAATACAACTTTGCAATACACTTAATTTCTACAGTCACGCTATAACTTAAACAAACGCGTTCGTTGTGAATTATAGATTCACGCGCTTGACTCAATTGTCCGTCTCTATCTCTGTCTGCAATACACAAGAATACCGCACATCTAGTAAACATTCGAGCATTCAAGAACCTTCGAGAATAGCATGACGTGTTACTAGTGTCACGTGACATCTGCTGTCGTAACAATATAATAGCCAATGCTCCGCGAGAGGTTTTCGTTTATAAAATTTTGTTGTTGTTCTCGACTTGATTTTTATTTCATTACCTCGTCTCTATAGTTACTATTTGCAAGTAGTCAATAATAATGTAGGTCCATTTTATTGATGTTCTTTCTACGCGCCGTTATAACACATTTTCATCTCATCATTTAATTTCTGTTGTGCATATAGTGTTGTATAGAAGATATTTTAAACTGATTCATCAGGTGGAAAACGAAGTTTTATAATAATGGAATGTACGAAAAGTGACCCGATAAACGGGGCTAATTCGGTAACCCGTGGCCCGATTTTAACGAAACTTGTTTTATTCTGTTTCTGTTCACATTTCATTACAAATATGGCGGTACTGTGCGCCGTTTTTGCTGTATTTAATTACAGACAAGCAAACAAACAATCTCAGAGTTTTAGTAGTATATAGATTAATCTATGAGACCTTCCCACCCCTTTATATTAGCTATATTTTTGTGCGCCAGCAATACCTAGCGTCGGGTGCGCGTATACCCGATTGGATTTTATTACTCATCAGGACCTGTACCTGTCTACCCTCAATTTCAAATTCTTTTAGGCAAAATTAAAGTAAATTAAGCTATGTAACCTTGGGCATGATCATATACATCAATCGAATGAGTTTGGCCTCCTGAGTCAAAAACTGTAATTAGATCTCAAATCATTTAAGAGATGACGGAGTTATGAGCTAAAAGTTTGTACTTGAAAAAAAAACAAAAAACTCGGAGTCATTCTATGAGCCGCAATGCCGCGGCTAAAAATCTAGTTTTGTTTTCAATACTTTAACTGTTCAAAAATATTTGGCAAAAAGATTGTTTTCGTTATTATTGCCTTTATCTATTCAGAAATGTTCGGTAAAAACATCAGGTTTGATTGTCAGTGTCGTTAAGCATTTAACAGTGTTCGGCTAAAGATCTGGTTTTGCAGTCGTAACTTAATCACAACACTATTTGGTGTTATCATTAGCTCTCGTCTACTAAAAGAAATTAGGTAAAGCTTCATGGAGAAGTTAGAATGACTAATGCCAGACGTCATGGGACATTATTTTTGTGGATATCAATATAATTACGTAATAAATTATTTTTCATTGAAATAATATCTTTTCACTGGAGTTTATATAGAGTCAAACATCCATTTTATAGGTTTAATATTATTTATTACAAATAATTTTACCCAAGAAGACATATTTTTGTCTACGAAAATAGCAACAGTAAGAACATGTAATCTAAACCGTTTGTGAGAAAAATATTAAAATAAATAATTATTCTTCCATTCCATACCACTTTCGATTAAATAAGGCAACAAAAACACATTGTTAAAAATGGCTAACGTGTATTGAAAATATTAAATGAATATATGACGTCACACACCGCTTTACAAGTTTTATACTCAATTGAATTTTTACGTACGTGATACTTCAGATAGTATATTAAAACTACCCTCTTTTAACTGTTTCTTTGTTGTGAGTCAAACTCTCAGAAGTATTTACAAAATTCAGTTAAATTTTAATTTAATTTATTATTTTACTTTTTAAGAACTACTAACAACGTATTTGTAGTATTCAATAGCTTTTCAAAAGGATTCATTTATTCCAATAAATTGATAAAGTTATCTATTTATTCTAGTATTATAAGTTATGTTTCCTGGTGGGTCAATGGTGAGTTAACGGGCTTGTATGCTAAAATCCAGGATTAAATACAAAGCGGACGGTAGATAGAGCGAAATATATATCCCATTGTGTAGCTTTTTTGCTATAAAAACAACAACAACAAAGAGACAAAACTATGACGTATAAACATAACAAAAAAGCACAATGAGTTGCACTTTAGAAAAAATGAACGAAAATTAAAGACGAAAATAAACAACAGCCAATAACTTAGCTTGCGGACTAATGTTTAGATACAATTAAGGTTTACAATGTCCAGTTGAGTTCATGCTAACTCTTAAAGAGGGTAATGATCAGAACTAGACCTTAACCTGTATCCGTACAAACCGTCTTCAGATGTAGCTCACGCCATATATTCTTGTCAGAACAAAACTGGAAATTCCCACGATTTCTGTCAAATGATTTGATAAATGTTTTTAGCATCCTCTAACACAAGATATGTACACTGTGTCCGATAATATGTTAAGGAATGTATTAACATTTATTTCCGAGTGTCATTGAAATACAAGTGAATAGTTTATTAACGTAATTTACGAAAATTAATCATTTGAATGAAGTAATGAAAGCTGTTCGATGTGCGAAAAGTCTGATTAATGCCTTATTTTAATGAGGTATTGTTGATTAGGTACAAAAAGTTGCAACATTTATATAAATATGTTATGCTCAAAGTAATCATTTTACCAGGATATCTGGTATTTAATTGATTGAATTATCTCTTATCTAACAGAAGAAGAGATATTCATATATCATCACCTCTGTATAAAACATTAGAAGAGATATTCATATAACATCACTTCCGTATAAAAACTTAGAAGAGATATTCATCTAACATCCCGTATAAAAAAATTAGAAGAGATATTCATATAACGTCGCTTCCGTATAAAAACATTACAATAGATATTCATATAACATCACTTCCGTATAAAAAATTAGAAGAGATATTCATATAACATCACTCCCATATAAAAAATTAGAAGAGATACTCATATAACGTCGCTTCCGTATAAAAAAATTACAAGAGATATCCATATAACGTCACTTCCGTATAAAAAATTAGAAGAGATATTTATCTAACATTCCATATAAAAAAATTAGAAGAGATATTCATATAACGTCGCTTCCGTATAAAAAAATTACAATAGATAATCATATAACATCACTTCCGTATAAAAAATTAGAAGATATATTCATATAACATCACTCCCATATAGAAAAATTAGAAGAGATATTCATATAACGTCACTTCCGTATAAAAAATTACAAGAGATATTCATATAAAATCACTTCCGTATAAAAAATTAGAAGAGATATTCAGCCTAAAAATTTTTTTATTTTTTTTTGTAAATCAAAACAAGAGAGTTGGCAGGCTTACGTGAGTGTAACCTGGTGGAAGGTAGAACATTTTTACGATCCCATTTTTCTGATTTTTTTTTGTTCTGTAAGTTATTGTAAGATTTTAATTATTCTTTGAAACATCATATATGCACAAAGTAAGTTTTTCACCTAAGAAGTTGATTGTAAAAAGTTTCGCGTCAGAAAAATCTAATTTTTAGAAAAACCTTAGTGAACTGACGATTTCAACTATGTTGGAGGACATTTAGTTTTGTTGAAGGATTTGTTTGTTTGTTTGTAATTTAGCACAAAGCTACACAATGGGCTATCTGTGCTCTGCCCACCACTGGTATCGAAACCCGGATTCTAGCGTTGTAAGTCCGCAGACATACCGCTGTACCACAGGGGGGGGGGGCTATTAATTATAAGTTTCCTGGGTAGGTAAGAGGCTAAAATAGCCTATTTAATCAGAGATCTAAGTTAATTTTTCTTTAAAAAATACTGAATTTGTATTTTAGCGTTTTTACCAAATTTGTGAACAGGCTTGAGTCCGCAATAGTAAACTTATCAACAATTTGATTG